TGGTAGGGTTGAGGTAAGAGCAGGCTTTAAAAAAACACAAACCCTAAAGTTGTACTTTGCAGGTTCATGCCACCTTTACCAGCCTGCATTGAGACAAAGACAGACCTCATGGAGTCCCACCTAGATTTTAAGGGTAGGAGTCTAGGAAGGTCATTGTGTGAAGGATTTTATGGGTGAATCCCCACTAGGCTACAGGAAAGCTCCGCTGGGGACTACCTACACCAGCTAGTAATTGTGTCTCTCCCATGGTCAAATAACAAGATGACTTTGCTGACCAGACATTGTCCTTTTGGAAGTGCAGTTTCAGCTGTGGATTTTGCCTGAGGGAAAGCTGAGCTTCCAGGAGGACATATCTTTCAAAATACAGTCAGTACTATAACAGAATGGAAGCATCATCTATTTTAGGAATTTATGTAAGTCACAAGTAATTCAGCAATCTTTTGGCAAGTGCAAAATGTATAATCCATGTACTGCTTTTCCAAAAATTAGTAGAAATGAAGTGTCCAGCTTCAATATAAATCTGTCAACAACATAAATCTTCAATATAAACCTGTCAGTGCTCTCAATGCACCCTGAGGCCTCTTCCATTTCAGAGATTTTTAATCTTAGAAGTCTCTATTTGAACCCATTTTTTAATTTTTTAAAGGAAACTTAGATGCAAACATCTGAATATTTTCAAGTATAATTTTGTAGATGCAAACATCTGGATACTTTCAATTTTAGTTTTGTATTGTATTTCTCTTCCTATTGAAGTATCCAAAATATTGTCAGCATGAAATAGCAGCCTGTGTTATGTATGTGAGGAAAAAAAGAAAAGTAAAACAAAAGACAATTACAAGTCTAGTAAAGCAAAGAGATTCTTAAAACTGGCAGATACTTGGTTTTATGCTTTTATTTTCATTCTCATTTTAGTTATATTACATTGTCCCAGTTGTTAGGGATCATATCTCATTGTTCTAAGCTTTGTTCTAATTTATACTGGTGGCATTGGTTTCAGAAAGATTGAAAAGATTGAAAGATTCTGTTTTTTCCTGAAGCACCTCTGTGTCTGAAATAAAATGTAGCTTCTCCTTTCATATAATCTAGATTTGAATTTGTTGGAAGGAGAGCTTTGTCATCTTGCTTGCTCTGAAACAAGTGCAACAGTGGATGCAGTTCCAGATCCCCATGAGATTTCCACACAAGGATGGATTTTAGCCTTGATTCTGCAAATCTGGCTTAGCTCAGCCAGAGATTTCAGCAGCTCACAGAAGTGCCATTGCAGCTGACACTCTGGCTGACTCCAGAAGATCCCTGTGGGCTTTGCACAAACTCTTCTGCCTTGATGTTTGTTTCTTTTTTAAAAGTTGCAGTGAATTGCAATACACTGCTATTTTACATTCTTTCACAGCAACTGGTGGGAAAATTTTGTCTGTCCTTTCTCAACATATGTCAGAGACAGAAACAAGTCATTAAGGGACTGGTAGAACTTGGCTGGTTCTAGTCCCTGCCTGCACTCCAGAGCAGGTGGATTAGCTGCTCAGGACTGCAGCAGACAAGCTGTACTAGCAGGTTTGTAATAAAAGCCCTGCAACGAACCATCAGCTTGCCACATCACTTGAAAATTTAGCTGTTGTTGTTCTCACAGGAAAAAGGAACTAGAAGGGCTTTAGCCAAGCGGCTGCAGCATTGCAATACATTTCTGTTTTTCTGAAAATGTCACTCTGATGACATGCTGTAATCTCAGTGATGCAAATCCTTCTCTATTAGGGAACAACATCAGCAAACAGCCTAGCTTTGCGCTCAGAAATTCTCTTTAAACTCTAAAACCCAAAGGAACAGTAACATTGAACATGCACAAATGTTTCCAATGGGTAACATACATTGCAAGCACCCTGAACATTTACTGGTTTTACCTGTGAAAAGACACTTCTTTTTGCTAAGGTGCATTGTGGATCCTAGTAAATGCACTAAGGTCTATGAAATTACCAGATACAACCCACCCCTCTTACAAAACCATCCATGACTGAAGCTACATGGGTTTCCAAATGCCCAAGTTTGTTTTGCAGCAAAGTTGTCACTACAGATTTTGGGTTCTGCATTCCAACTATGAAGAGAGATGCATGAGGCTGAAGACAACAACCAAGGTAAAGGTACCAACCTTGCTTTCCAGGCAGGTCAAAGGGAGCCTTGGTACCAGGCAAAGGTTCAGGGGAGCACCATCCCAATGCTGCTGGGCACGGTCCAAGGTAACTGCCCTTGCTTGAGAGTCTGATTTGTCAGCATCCAAAGTACCTCATTCCTCTTTCTCTACAATTAAAAAAAAAATAAAATTAGGATAGTCAAATGCATGCCAAACCACTTTTGTATGCCTCTAAAATCTTAATTAAAAGGTACTGTGGCCAAGAGTCAAATTTCCTGTACTTTTATTTGCCTTAGAAATCATAATTGTGTACATAGCAGTAGATAGCTATCTTGCTTTCAAGGGTCATTGATGAGTTGTTAGTCAAATATTTGTCAATAACAGTTGATGGGAACTTGAGGAGAAATGCTACAACCTATGTTGAAAGACTGAAAAGGGAAAGAGAAATGTATATAATTCTTTACATCAGAAATATGGTGTAAAAATGCAGCAAAGATACAAAACAAAAACAAACCCTTTCCTGTTTTCCCCTTCAGTTTCTCTCTCTAGGTTTATGTTTTTGTAATGGATGAGTGAGCTGGGCTGAGTCTACACAATGGGGCAAAACCACAAATATGCAGGGTAGGATAAATCAGAGGAACATGTGTGTAGCCCATGTGATATTAGAGTGGCAAAGCTGGGAAGGAAATGGGGAAGAAATAGAAAGGAGCATAGCACATCTTTCCTGTACATTAAAACAACGAAAATACGGTTAAATATTAAGACTTTGCCTACTGTTGACTAAAGTTAAAGGAAAGCTGAGGATGGACAATAGTGCCACACTTGGGACTGAGACTCTGCTCCTGAAAACATAGACAGCCTTTGCCTTTGCTGGCCACCAGCCCATTATCAGCTTTCCTATTGTCAGACGAGACAAAATCACCTCTGAGCACAGATGGGTAGCCTCAATTTCTGGACTTCCATCATTCAAACAGTCTATGTCAATTAGATACTATTACTAATCCTTGGAGTTTCTGTCATTTTTTAATGGAAAAATCTTAAAAGTATTGGCAAGTTTCACCTCTGACACTTGTGTCTGGTAAGTGTTATTGTGCACGATTCTGACATCATATTAAAGAATATCTCCTAGAAATATTTGATTTGTTGGTCAGTGCACTGGCTTCAAAACTCAGGGTTCCTCTTTATCTACTTGTAGGTGCAATGCTGCAGCTTTGCTTTCCCCCCCCCACTATTTTATGGTATACATACATTGCCAATACCAAGCAATCAGTTCAGATTTTTAGTTAACTGTATAATTCAAGGGGCTTAAATCTATCAACAAGCTGGTCATTAAATGAATCACTGACCTATTTCTCAGCTACTCAAGCTAAATAACCTAAAACTGATGACCTACAAAAGCATCAGTGTGTTAAGAAAAATTATTAGCTAGAGAAGCAGAGCAGCAATTGATCACTCCCCACCAATCTGAACAGAAAGATTCACCAGCTTCGACAAGTTCCAGAACTCAACAAATTCTGACCAGAAATCAGATTTTGACAGACTGATGTCTAGGGGAAGTACTATGAAGCTCCTACACAGTCACGATTCAACCCTCCTTTCTTAGATTACTACTGGAAAATTTTATGCAAGTATTTAAAATGGCTCTTACCTGGATACTCCAGAGTAATATCTGGAGTGCAGACTCTGCTCAACTCAGAGAGATTAATTTTAGACCTAGCACTTATTTCTACAGTGGAACAACCCAATTCTATGGTCCAACCACTCTCCCTGCTTGGGTACGTGTGTGGTTTAGACCCAGATCCAAATCCTGAGCCCTGGCTAGCCCACCCTATACAGCAAGAAGATTGAAAACGTTTGGTTTAAGTTCTCCATTGCTCTTACCCACAGAGCACCACCCAACAGGAAACACGTGGAAGCCCCTGGCCAGCTCTGACATGTTTCTGAGTGTGTGGACAGTGATGGGGTGGTGGGAACAGAGGACAGGGCAGTGTTTGTGGGGGCAACAGCCAAAGTCTGCACACCCAGACAGAGACTGCCAAGGAGGAGCAAAAATGAAGAGGAGTCAGGAAGGGAGGCAGGATTACCTTCCCCTTGCCACCTCACACAACCATGGCACTGCAGACCCCCATGCCAGGCCCTGCATTCTGGTGGGGACTGAAACCTTCTGTCCCCTGTCATCGGCAGCCGTCGTCACACCAGTGTCTTAAAACTTTCTTACTAAGGCACCTGCTCATAACAAAAAAATGATGTGGTTTTCTGCTTTTTCCTCTTCCTCTGCACGAACCAGCCCAGAATACTCAGTTATAGGCTCCTAAGAGAGCCAGCCATTCATCCTATTTGCTGAAGACAGCCCACCTGGGGGCTGCCTTTTGGGACTGTAAATGTATACAGTCTCCCACCCCGATGTGGGGAGGATTACAGCTTGAAAACCAAGGCAGGAGGGGAGGCACTATTGAAATTTTCTTGCTTAACCACCCTGAGAAGTGACTTAAAACCTTCCTGCTAACATACATATATGAAGTTTTGTGTCTGATCTGCATCTATATGATCTGTGTGTAGATGAAGATAGAAGGCGGTAAAGCCAGGAGTGAAAGGAGAGGAAGAGAGCGGGAGCTCTCTCACCTACAGCATAAAGGTGCCTCAGTCAAGTGTGTGCCTCAAGAGCAACTTCTGTTTTTTTTTTTTTCTTCTTTCTTTTGCAATCATTGCTCGCTTGACAGGCCCAGACGGAATTACATCACTTCCTAAAACCCATCAAAGAGAGTCCATCTCCTGCAGAAATGCAGCTCAGATGCTCCCCGGCAGGAAGCAGGAAATGTAGATGCCCGGGCGCAGCAGGGTGGCTGCGGAGCGCCCCTCAGGTGGGAGCGCGGCCGGGGCAGCATGCGGGGCCCCGCGATGCTCGCCCTGCTCTCGGCCCTGGCGCTGGCTGCGGGACCCGCCGCCTCCGGTGAGTAGGAAAGCGCCGTTCCCTGCCGAGGTGGGACCGCGTGTCTCGCCTGCAGCAATGGGACCAAGCTGGAGGGCAACACCCTCCGAAGTGAGCACAGGGAGGAGATCTGTGGGGACTTGCTCTCTGCTGCTTTTTGCTGTGTTTACCCTCTCTGGTTCCAGTTGCCTCTTTTTTTCAAAGCTTTGACTTTTTTTTTCCTTAGACCTATCCCCGAACAGCAGCAAACAAATCCTACAATTGCAAACTTTTCCTAAATTGCAGGTGTGTAGAGAACGGGAGTTTCCATGTTGAGCCACCAGGCATTTTGCTCCTAATTTTAGTTATTTTTTTAACTTTTTTAAACCCCCCACCCATACCATCAGTGTTTAATAGCAAAGTTAAAGGCAAAGCTCTGCTTCCATTCAAAAAGGGACTGCTGATTTCCGCAGCCCCGGTGCACTGAAGCTGGTTTAACAAAGGAACAGCCGGTTCCGGAGACAAATATTTTGAATTCCCAGCTGCAGAACAAAGTGGTCAGCACCATGGACTTAGGTTCTGACCCTCTGAAGAGAAGAACCATGGGTGGAAAAGCAGCTTGTGACAAAATGCTGAGGCACTGGGGTGTCATTGCAGAGACTCTCGCCTGTTTGTAGGGGTTATTGGTTCCACTGGCGTTTTGGCAGCCAGCAGCTGAACATGACAGGCAGCTCTTGTAGGGAAACCTTGCCTGTAAGCCTTTTGGGGTCAAACAAATCCTTGCCAAAATGCCTTGGTATAGACTATAAGTGTTTGCTGCCTCTGTGTTGCTGTAGTGAGCAAGAGCTCTACAGAAAGCAGGGAAAGAATGGTCACTCTCAAATATCACTGGACTTCACTTAATGTCCTAAAATGCACTGCTGGAATCGGTGTTTTGGTGTGAGTGCTTTTCCCCTCCTGAAGAGCTGTACTCTAAGCAGGGTTAGAGCTGGGCTGCAGGCTGCTGCTGAGCTGCTTGCACTTAGGAGACTTGCTTGGCTGTACGAGCGAGCTAAGTGAGGTATACAATGGTTTGGGTTTGGCTGTGTTACTACCGCCCTGCTGCATTGCAGACACGTTAGGAAAATATGCTGCAAGCACTGAGTGCAGCTCAGAATCAAAGCAGTCGGAGGAACAAAAATCCTGCCACGGGCAGAGCTAAACAGAGGTCCCAGGGAAATGGAGGAGTAAAATGAAGGCATGAAAGCAATGCAGAGGGATCAGGCTTCTGCTTCTCTAGCTCATGTGCAGGGTACTGAGAGCCATGATTTCATCACCACGTCCCCATAGCAGGGGGGATATCTTAGCCCAGGGTCCCTCAGCTCATGGCTGGGTGCACTCTGCACTTCTCTGCAATTAGGGGAAGCACCAGACAGATGTCACACCCCGGTGTGTGACACTCCCCACACTCCCCACTTCCCACCAGTAGGTCCACCTTTAAATTCTGGCTGATTTTGGAACAGTTCCTCTTTGGCAGTGAGTCAGTCTTGCCAGAGCCCTCCCCAAGCCCTGTTAGCTCTGACTCCACAGAGCCAATCCACGGTCCTAGGGGAAGGGGAGGAGAGCACCCACCTTTGCTCTCCATACAAAGGCGGTTTTTGCTTATTCAACCAGCTCCAAATGTACCTGGGGGCTTACTCTGACTGTGGGTGGGACAGGGAAGTTGTGAATCTGAGCCTTGGGGGGGAAATGAAACTGGTGGGGGAAGGTTTATGCAGTGCTTATGTACCCCACAGGCACTGGTGGGTCAGGAACCACTCTGCTGAGGGCAGCCTCTCAGGGAGATCCTTTGCTCTCACCCTTCCTTGCTCACAGATCAACAGGGCAGGACCTTTAAGGGAGCTTTTTCACCTTTGGCCAGACACAGTCTTCACCTTTTAAGCAGTGTACTGTCTAGAGACCATTCAGAAAATAGGCAGAGTATGATTAAATCTTGCAGCACAGACAGATTAAAGTCTTTATAAGTCCTGTTCCCATACCATGCCAGAACCTCGTAAAAGCCTAGCCTTGCCATTTGGATTATGATTTATGGATGCTTTTCTCCCTGTGATGCTTCAATCACTCTAATCCAGTAGCTCTAAGAGCATTCCCAAGGTCTCAACTCTGGGTGCTGGCCTTCTCCCAGCTCCATACTGAGAGGACATGGGGGTTTGCACCAGTTCCCTTCCCCTTGCTGTAATGCAGTCAGGAAGCCCTACAGGTAACAGTGCAGGGCATCATCTCTACTGTAGGGGATGATACTCACTGCTCAGCCTTGCAGCAGCCCTGAAGACCTACCTAGGTATGTGTGCTGACCCTAATAACAAGCATTAAGACCCTTACTACAGCTTATAGGAACATGCTCTGATCCTTGAGTCATTTCCCAGGCTAGGCCATCTCCCACTGCGTTCAGTGGAACAGGTGGGAAATTGCAGCATAAGTGGCCTGACATGGGAAGCAAGAAAATGTGTGAGGGAGAGGAGCAGTAAACCATGTAATAGCACCAAGGGGAAGAGCTGGGGTGCTCGCAGGTTGTGCTCTATTTTGTCTGTGTCCCTGTGCTATTGTTTTGAATTGTCATTCAAAGAAACACTGCTGTCAAAGATCCAGATATTCAGCAGCTTGTACCACGAGCACAGGCAGTGGCTCTCTCCTGGCAGAGAAATGTCTTTTAGGCTGCCTCCCCTGCAAAGCCAGGGCTCTAATGGAGTAATAATTTTGACCTGAAAGGAATCATTTGTTCCCCCCTTGAGTAATGAACTGAGAATGGATTGGAACCTGTTACAATCACCTGTTAAAATTTTTCTAGCAAAGCAAAACAACAATGTAAAAAATGAGGATTTGCTACATTTTCTCTTTCGGAAGTGCAGTGCCTTAAAAAGCAGATGAAAAATCCTTTCTACTGAACACATCGACTCCTCCTATGTATTTACCACCATTCCTCCATTTTAGGCACACACATAAACATTCACTGTTTTATTCAACTGCTTCAGCGACATTTAATAAAATCTCTCATTTACATCAGCAAGATTGTAATTGTAATTTTCAGTCAGTGACACCAGTCTCTTTTCCCTCAAGAGATTTTGTGATAGCTGGAAAGCCTCCGGAGCTTTTGAATCTTTAATTTCAGGGTCCCCCTGAGAGCAAGAAGCACTGAGAGATTTGCATCACAGCGAGGTCGCAGGAGTATCACAGATGCAGAGCTAGAAGGCCATCGGATTAAGCAGGAGCAACTAAATGCATAAATTGGTCTGCAAAGTCTGTAGTACTCAGGGTGAGCAATGAGACTACAGGTTCACAGTTTGACTCCAACATGTGTGACTGAATTTGCAATGCTGCCTCTTAATGCAGCACTTCAGCTGGATAGAAATACAGTGAGGAAAAGCAGTTTCCATCTTGTATAAATGAGCTTAAACAGTTGTTTCCTCTTTCAGGTTATACCTAGATAACGCTTTCTAAGCACCTCGTTTTAATAGGATCTTGTCTACAGATTAGCCACCCTGAAATGCCTGTGCTCCCTCATCAGAAGAGTGTGTGCTCCCAACAGCTAGCCTGCAGGCTTTTAAGGATTCCTCTTCTAGCCAGACTGACAGGCAAGACCTGCCACAACAGGCAGCTGGGCAAGCCCTGGCCACGGCAAGGAACAGCCTTCTTACATCAGCCTGAAATGTGGAGTGCGGGGATGAGCCAAGCAATACACCAGAGGATCACACAGACTGTGAGGAGTGGTGTGACTACACCACCAACGAAATGTGTGCATGGGGCAGAATGAGATAGGATATAGTAACTTTATTCCAGCTTTACAGCCTTTTCTTGTTCTGCCACCTTCTCGTGAGCCTTCCTTTCACTGCATTTTTATAGTTTATGGGAAAGTTTGGAGATATAAAAATTTTCCTTTCAGACTAATAAGCCTAGCTATGCCACTGACATAGCTCTTGCTTTTTCTCTAGCTCATTGCTTTTACTTCTGTCAGTAGGCACTCTGGTGTAATTTGAAAAATTCCCTTGAGAGAACCCAGTCCTTGAGTCTGACGGCAAGGCAGCAGAGAGACTGATGGTTCTACAACAAAACTGAATGTGCTGACTGCCAGCTGTTTTCCTTTGCTATTTTCCTTTGCCTCGCATCCAAGCGAATTCAGAAACCTGTTTGCCTGCTTACTTCATCAGGAAGCCCATATCACCACCTCTGAGTGCTGCAGCACAGAGGTAGAAATGCTGCAACAACAGAAATGTTGTTTGATTGAGACATAATTTTTTGGACTCCAGTCTGTAAAACCACTTGGTATATTCAATTACCTCTCTCCCCCATGAAAAGCATATTTGGGAGCACCTCCAAAATTCAAGCAAAGTCTATCAGTGACCCAAGCATATTTTTAAAGTAAAACATCTTGAGTAATACCTTATACCATAGTATCTGCATACAGGGACATAGCTTTTCATAATTTGTAAGAACTGTAAATTGAACCTTTTATGAGAGGCTGCTAGTGCTTGCTCAAGTATTTTGGTCCCTTGAGTTATAGATTCTCTAATACCTCAACTGGGGAACCCTTAAACTACTGTTTAAGCTCATTTATACAAGATGGAAACTGACTTCCAGCTCCAGCATCTTAGCTTTCAGTTCCAGCTGTGCCCACCTTCCCCTCAGGGTGGATTGCTGCATGTCAGCCCCTCTCCCTTCTTCTCTTGAAAGCATGGGAAGTGGCAATACAGGCTGGGCTGAAGCTGTGTTGTGTTCCCATCCACTTCCCTTCACACAGGAAGAAGTCACCAGCATTCACGCCCCAGGTGGTACAGACAAAGGTGAAGCCCATGTGGTTGTTGCACGAGCATTTGCTCCTTGGACAAGATGTGCAGAGGGATGAGTATGTGGATGTTGGAATGTAGCCAACAGCATGAGGCTGAGCTCAGTAAGAAAGGCTTTGCAAAGTCAAGGAGATATCTATGTGGCCACATGTGACTTGCTCTTTGTTACACTTCACTGGCTTTGCTTTTCCACGCTGAATGTCATGCTGTATTGTTGTAAGATTCCCATTTGCAGGGAGCTAGTAGATGTCTGCAAGATGAAACCACAGCTGGCAAGACAGTTCATGGTATGAATTATCACTGTAAATCTGGCATGGAGAAAATGTTTGAACAGCACCTCACAAAATCTCCAACTTTCAGATGTTCTTCTGCCCTGCTCCAAACCTTGTAATGCCCAAACCTTGTAACTCACCCCACCAAACAGCCACCCAGGCCAGCTGCAGCACAGCCCACTTGCAGTTTTGAGCACTTTAAATGGAAACACTCTGACAAATAGCAACTTGGGGTGTTGAGGTCACCCACCTGTGTCTCACTGGGCGGGTGGCTGTGGCAGGCGCCACAGCTGCACCGGGAGCTGAGCCTGACTGTCCCCGCGGGCTGGAGGCACAGATCCTTCCCTGTGCCAGCCTCGGGGCCAGCCCAGGTGCGGGCTGTGCTTTCCCACTGTGTAAAAGGGTGATGTGTGGGTGGCCTGAGAGCGAGAGCAACTGCTGGGTGACAGCTGAGGCGTCCCTTGAGGCTGAGCTCTGCTCCTCAGATGTGAGGGGGAGCGGGATGTGTTGGGGCAGCAGGTAAAATGCAGGAAATAAGAGCAATGTCCTTGCAAGAACATTGTGCAATTGGCTGCCCTTCTGCTGAAAGATGTATTTAATTCGCTCAGAGAAAAGATCTCTGTAAGAGGAAATGGTGTTCCCAGAGAGATGCTGTTTTGTCCCTGGATTTATGCAAAGTGAAAAAAATACATGGCAGCAAGGTCACCCCCTGTGATTTGCCATTTTCTTTGCCTAGAGACTAGAAAAGGTAATTCTATTTCACTCAGAGACAAATGATTCGAAGTCTGCTTCATAGTTCAAAACCAGGCAAAGTGGCAGAGATACTGGAAAAATCTCTCTCAGAAATCAAGCACAGCATACTCTGCAGCTGAAAGTTTATCACTGCAGTTAATGAGGTGTGACTGTTTGCTTTAAAGCCACACCATGCGTTAGACATTTGAAAAATCCATTTTAGCTCTACGAATTAATGAAAAGCAAGGTATTTTCTCCACACCCTTTTTAAGCAACAGGCTTGTCCCTCTCAATATATCAAATGTGGCAGGCAATGGGTTTCAAGGGCAGTGGCTGGAGGAGGAAAAGGAAGCAAGGTCGTGGGGGAGGTTCAGTGAGGCTGTGGCGGGCCATCAGCTCTGCCCGGGGCTCAGTCCATCATGTCACAGCCGGCAGCACAGACATCTCCCGTGCTGCCTCGCCGCTCTGCACAGCAGCAATTGCAACGGACTGGCTGCAGGCACGGGGAGCTACAAACTGCCTTGGGACAGAAAAGCCAAATGGCCAAACGAATGAGGGAGAGGAGCTCTTCCTCCTGCCCCCGCCATAAGATCAAGGACAGGCAGGGGCGGAGCAGCGCACACCTAAGGGGGTCGTTACCTGCAAGGGAGGCAGAGATAGGGTTCTGCTCTCGACTGAAATACTAAATACAGAAGAGACAGAGACTACTGATACAAAGTGCTTTGCCGCAGAAGAGCTATCATTCTCATTGTCCTATTGTGCTCCAGGAGTCTGGTGACCTTCACAGTATTACATTAAGTATTCAAATTCTTTCCTAGTTTTTAGGAAAGGATGAAACAATCAGATGCCTGTGTGTTATGTGCAGCATAAAAATCTAGATAAAACACTGCTGTCACACTCAAATAATTTTATTAATCTGAAATTGGGTTTCTTTGAATACAGTCTCATGAAATACTCATCTTTGAGACAAATCTGGTGGGAGATGCTGCATAGTGGATTAAGCAAGAGATAGCGCTCTAATCCCAGGTTTTTCTCTCTCACTTGGCATCCCTGGGAAGGACAGCATCCCTGTCCTTCTGATTCCTCATTTGTAAAATGGAGATGATAACTGCTCATCTCTCAGGGCCATTATGAAGATTAATGTGTTTACAAAAGCATTTAAAATGCTAAGTACTTTTGGTTCCAGTCCTGTGAGATTGGAAATGCCAGCACTGAGGTGCTGAAAACCTTAAGCTCTTGCTAACTCTTGTGGAAACTCTGGCCGCCCAGCACTTTACAAGAATGAGGAGAAACATGTAATTGCAAAAGTAAAAAAATTCCATCCTGCTTTATTGCACAAAATGAGATGTGTGCCATGCTGGCATTGTATCTGAAAGGGCAGATAACACAAAAAACCCGTCACTTCATTTCATGCCAAGAAAATTCTTGGAGGCTTTTCTGCTGTAATTTAGATAAAGGCTGATTCTTGCACCTTTGGCTACAACAGGATTTTGGCATCCAAATAGAATACAGCATCAGCCCAGAATTTGCTGTACTTCTTTAAAGCTTTTAAACTCTGTGACAGTCAGTAGACTCTTATGTAAACACACAAAAGAAGCACTTGTTTCACTATTACTGACACAGTCAATTTTAGCCACTTTTCTTGCAAAATGAGTGATAATTGAAACCAGAACTGAGATCAAAGTTCAAAACCCTCAGTCTTAGCACTCATGGGGAATATCCAGCGCTGATGCTTTGCCACATGCTCCTTCAGCCAGCCTGCGGAATCAGTCAGAGGAACAGCTCATTGGACCTGTATGCAGTGAGGTCCCCGTGTCACTAACACCTCTTCTAGTCCACGCAGATGGGGAAGTCAGCAGCTCTTGCATCCTTCAGACTTCCTTTCTCCAACTCTGCTTTTCACAGTGAGGCAAATTTAACAAATTTGAGAAAGGTACAGAAGCAGGGAGACGAGTGAACCAAAGGAACTGGTGAACCAGGGATAATGGTCTCCCTGAAGGCAGTACCTAACTCCTTGGGTAAGGGGAGGAACATATGTGCCAGGACTAAGAAGCAAAACAGGCTGGTGTGGTTTACTGAGAAGCAGAATGAGTTCTCATGTGAGCAAGACCGGATGCCAACGTGCAGCAACAGAAATCTGTTTGTGCAAGGCAGCTGTGTGCAGACAGATGACACATGCTGACGTGTCCCAGGAAAAGTCAGCTGAGGAACGTGGTCATGACTGGTAAGATTCTGTGATAAAGTTGAGATCTGATTTTACATCCAATGCCCAAGACTTCCAATCTGTGTGTATGAGGCATCTGTTGGATTTTTTTAATACATCAAATGGGAAGTAAATACTAAAGTTGTACACTGTGGCTCACTGATGAAACTCTTAAAATGTTAAACTGACCCCATATATTTGACAGATGCTGGGACTGATGGATCAGGAGATGGATCGATGATATCACCCACTTTCACAGTGACACATCTTCCTGCTACGGGCCCTTCCACAGTGGATGACCATGGGCCAGTACTTGTAACTGCAGGCACTACTGAAAGCAGCCTTGATACACAGAGCTCTCCAAGTACTGAACTGAATGCTGCGAATGGTGAGGAGAGCCTCGAAGCAACAGAACAGTCTATCTTGATATATGTTGTCCCCGTGGCGCTGCTGGTCCTGCTGATTTTTTTGATCACATTTTTTGTAATGCATCATAAAAGGAAAAAGTCCAAGCAAGGTAAATTTGTCTTCTTGTGCATCAAAAGGCTGTTTCTAGGATGTGTTCAACAATAACAGATCATTAAGGGATGGGGTGCCACATTTAGGATGTCCTTCTCTGACTGTGGTTGCATGTTTGACAAGCAAGAGAGGGATCCTTCCCAGCCAGCAGTACCTGGTCACACACCTCTCCTTGGGCAGGAGATACTTCTTCTGCCTCTTGGCACCTCCTGCTCCTGCTGTCACACCCATGGGAGCCCTGGCACCAATCTCTGGCTCCTGGAAATGCTGAGAATGCTCAGACATATAACTGTGGCTGCAAATGCTTGTTCTGTCTTCATGCTCAACAACTTTAGGCAAGGTGAAATTAATGCTTCTGTTGCTCTTAGTGCCCACAAGGTAAAGCTGCTTGGAGCTTCAATGAAATAAGATCAAGAAAAATCATTATAAGGAACAATTTTAAGGAATCCTGATTACATAGGGTGGAGGCTGCTGTGAAGACATCACAGCAAATGAGCTAGGTCAGACTGCCTGGGTGCTGCAGTAGGGTGAGCAATGCTTCAGGAAGGTGCTGTGATCTGTTAACAGAGGAATTGGTAACTTGGAGTGTCAAACCACAGGAGAGCAAACTGAGGTGTCATAATAAAACCACATGGTTGATAAGTGAAATGCTGAGATGGTCATATCAGTGTATCTGCATGGTCAGAGTGCAGCTGTCAGCTCATCAGCCTGCACACAGTGTAACACATTCAACACAGATCTAAAATCAAGTTTTCAGCACATTTTTAGGTTGTATTTGCCCAGTCACTGGGTTTCCCTCTAACAAACTATGAATTTACAACCAGGCACCCACTTGCCTGCCTGTTTCTGGGTAATTGAAATGCAGGTACACTCTTCAGAGAGTTAGGAAATGTGGTACATTGCAGGAACACAATCTTAGGAACTCATGCCCTGTGCCAGCCTGGGATTTTGAGCATCCTCAAGGATGGGGCAGATGGCTCTGTGGTTCTGGGGTGGCTCTGCAGTCTGGGAATGTGCTGGAACATCTGGGAGGTATCACCCGCTGGCAACAATGAATTAAAAATAAGGTGATTTAAGACAGGTTTTTCAGTCACTTGATTCCTGGAGGTGAAGATATTTATCAGAATTATGTCTGTGACACCATTTCCCCCCTCCATTTTTACTTTGTCTTGGAGTCATAAGCAGATTGGATCCCTTTTGACATCTGGCTAGTTCAGCTTCTAACTGAGATCTAATCTGCCATGCAGTCCAACTCCCTTCTCCCCATGAACAGCTCCTAGAGTTTCCAGACAGCTGAATTGCCCAAATGTAATCTGTAGCAAAATGTCCCAATGCTTCTAGCAAACAATTCTTTTGCAGAAGTGGTTCCCTTTCAGGATACCATTTCCCTCAGCACATCTGTTCTGCTGAAGGAAGTGTGCATCTGCCCTGGCCTGCCCACTGCAACACCAACACTGGGCTTCCTCCCAGCAGGGCTGGGCTAATAATGAGAGGCTTTTAGATTCAAAAGAATGGGTTCCTCTGAAAATTGCAAACAGGATAAGATGTTTTGTCTTTCATCTGCAAGTTAGTTTTTATGCCTTTTGTAAATGCGACCTGTTTTACTTGACCCTATTCAAGGCTTGCACGCAGTCCGGACCCTGTAAATACAATGGGTAAATATCACACAGAACTATGAACACCAACTTTCTTCTTTTCCAGATGAGCTGGGAAGTGAAAATGTAAAAAGGTAAAGTTTATGAATATCATTATTTTTAAAAAATTTCTTTTACTCTAACCTTTGTCTCCTTCACTGCCTCTTTTAATTTAGCTGTACATTAAACACCATTACATTTTGCCATTAATTACACCATCAATCTCAACAGGTGGGTAAAGTGTGACTTCAGTATGTGGCTGAAGTGTAAGACTAGAGCAGGAGAACAAGAGTAAGTGGTGGCTGAGGCAAGGGCTGCCCCACGGACACCCACAGCCCACAGACCTCACTGAGGCTGCTCTTAAGCACCACAAGTGGTACAAGGTGCCCCATGAGCAAAGGGGATCAGTTCCCAGGCTCTTCACAGGCTTTTGCTATTCAGAATAAGCTCTGTGTCTTGCTCCCCTGTTTTTCAAGTTTATCTTCTTACTCAGACCTGAGGCAGAAAGGCTGGCCTGGCTGCCACAGGGGCAATGCCTTGGATGCTTGGAAAACAAGACAGAAGCTGTGTGGCTCTTCTCAGAGTCATAATTTTTATTGTTGCCTTTTATGGATCTCCATCTTGCTAATTAATGCTGAAAGTTCTTGAATTGGCTCTATGAGAAAAAAGAAGGGTTTTTTTCTGAAAACATATTTTCTATCATATGACTGCAGGAATGATAAGCAAAAGGAAGCTAAGCAGAGGCATTTAAATAAACACAACTCTCATGACCTTTCCTTTTGAAGTCATTGCAAATGTCAGTCACAGACATGATGAAACTTTAGGCCTTCAGCTCTTAGCACTGGAGAAATGGCACTTCTGTCATGTGTTCCAGAAGGGGTAGGGACAAACTATCTTTTTTTTTTTTTTAGTTTTCTATTTACAGCAGGGACAGTTTTCAAGAAGCTGCAATGATCCTGCGCCCTGGCATGTCTCTGGCTGCACTGAGTCCCTCTGTGCTGTGTCTCAGCTGGCCCCACCTCTGTCCAGGGCTGGCATCTCAGTGCCACTCCCTTGCATCTGTTCATGACCCCTTGGTTCACACCCACCGGGCTGACATCTCCTCAGATTACTGGGCTGGGATGGCTTTCCAGAGTTAATACACGTGTCTGGAATTAGAGACAGTCGTACAAAATCACTACATTGTAAGCTGTTGGAATGAAGCACTTTGTGTAATACTTTTTCCCCCCCTCTCTTCTCTCAAGTCCTATTTTTGAAGAAGACACACCCTCTGTTATGGAGATAGAAATGGAAGAGCTTGATAAATGGATGAACAGCATGAACAAAAATGGTACACGGTAACCCCTGTACTCCCTCCTCCCTCTCTTGCCTGCTGACATAGAGCCCATGCAGAGGAAATCAATGGAAGGTGTTTTGTATGCATGCCACTGCTTTCCCTACAACATTTTTTCTTGTGCTCTTGACTCCCTCCTACTAAAATAACTGAACAAATGTCAGGGGTAGATTTTTTCAGAGGAGTATTTTAGTTTGTGTGGGAGTTTATTTTTAATATGTGATAGAATCTCATAAGTGTTTTCAGTTTCCAGTAGACATTTCTATTAAACACACTTATAGCTGTGAATGTTATTTATATTTTTAAATACACATTTTTAATGCTAAACACTAGCTTCTCTGAAGCATCCAATCCTTTCAGTCTCCAGAATTTCTACACTTTTGCGCTCCACACTGAGGTATTGTAGAAGAAATATGCATTTGCTCATAGTTCAGACCACCATTTATTTGAAATTGCTGCCAGGAGCCTATGAATACACCCTTCCCCTCCCTTCAAGGCTATCAGCACATGGAGTAATTAGAACATATAGTAACTACCAGCAGCAGCATCTTCAGCTGCCTTCTCAGTTACTTAAGAGTACCTTGCATTTTTCCCCCCATTTTTCTCCCAGGTGAATTCCCCAGTCAAAATCTCTAAGGGGTCTGCATTGTCCCTCCAGGGTCTCCTCAAAAAATGCAGGTCTTCAGTAAGCCATGAGTTAACCAAGGCCTGATTTGGAACCACGAACAGCTTTTCACTGGCTAGGAAATGCTGAAACTGATATTTTTTTCATTCCTGGTCCCTTGCCTTCTATCCAAATGGCTCATTTGCCTGACCTACTAGGCATGCTTTGTTTTTCAGGACATAAAACTCTTTGGAGCATTTCTTTGCATTAGCACAGTGCTCCACATGATGGGGTTTTGACCTTCTCAGTCTGAAAGCTTTTATAGAAAACATGTGCTAAGTGGCAGTAGTGAAAGAGGGACATTAACTGTACCACATGGGAAAAAACTGGTATAAAATATAGTTTAAAATTTTGTGGAGAGAAGGAAGCAAGTATTTCACATTCTTTCATGTGTGTGTGTTTGTGTGTGTTAGTGTTCCCTAAACTCCAGCCCCAGATTCCCAGCTGGACTATAAGGCATAGGTACCACTGTCAGCAGTGGAAGATTAAAAAACAACTCTCCCTGTGGCAGTGTGCAGGAGACAGTGCTCAAAAGATGCTCATTTGTAAAGGTGTACATAGAGAACTGGAACATATAAAATAAATAAATTGTGGCAACACCTATATCAAGGGAAGGAGGTGTAAGATTCATGCTATAAGGGACCCTGCAGATAAAAGGGTGCAGAAGTGAATGTGCAGAACTGTATTCTAGAGTGACTGCATGATAAAAGTTCATGCATTTTTGAAATAAATGTAGAACAACTGCCAAGAGTAACTATAGTCTTGTTTCTTACCCTTTTCCAGGTGACTGTGAATGTTTACCTACAGTAAGGGAAGAAGAAAAAGAATCAATTGCCAACCCAAGGTACTTTAATTCATTCTATTATTTCAAGAAATATGGTCAGTGTAATTCTATTTTTTTTTTGTATGTAATTATAGAATTATTCTTTGGTCCATTTAAGTTTTAAAAATTTTTGTGTATAGAAACTTTGACTTCAACTTAAACTAAAGGCTTGACACTCTTATTTCTGAACAGGTCTCTTCCTGTAAACTGCACTGCTAAATAATCCTACAGTTGTAAAGTGGTGCAAGACAGACAACCAGATGGCACAGATGGAGTTTCACTCACTGATCAGACTTTAATCACAGTTTCCCAAGGTGTTAATACAAGCATTCAGCATAGCTTCCTTGGCACCCTTCAGCAAAGGCACCCAGTTCCCCTCTGCCGCCTGGTGCCTATAGGTTCTTGGGAGTCACAGCCAGATGTTTTGGCTGGAGCTGTGACCTGAAAGACAGGGACTTGTCTGACTGCAAGGAAAAAATGAGAATGAGAAGCACAAAGGATCTTCCCAGTGCCCCCTTGCAGCACTCCCCCAGAGCTGGCACTAGTTGATAGTCCAAGCAGAGATCCCAGTGGGATGCAAAACCACAATCCTGACCAGCTTGTAAACTTAAAGTATTTCTGGTCAGTTTCCTTAGGAGTTTGGCCAGAACTCCTAAACCCCTCGCAATTTTCCCTAATTAAAAATTCTGGTTCTTGTTTCCAGCTGGAAGCAAGAGGCTGTACATTGCCCTTGCCTGCAACCCTTGTGTTGCAGCTGCATTTTGAGGAGTGGGCAAAGCAGCTTCTCTGTGCCAGGTTATGATAACAAACAAGCCATCCTGTGTGCCAAGAAATCCCTGTGCAGTGGAAGCAGTGATGCAATCAGGCAAGGCCAGGAGCTGGGAGAAGACCTAGGTCTGCTTCCTATGGCATCAGATAATTCCACTGACCATGCCTCTGGCAGAATTGCACCTCCTGTCATAATATTCCAATCTTCTTTTCTGAATTTCCTTGCTCAGGAGTGAAATAGGGATATTAAATCACCACTGCTGCAAGTTTACAGCTCAGTTGTTCCAAAGCTGCAGTTTCAGAGGAACCTTTGGATGGGGCTGGTCCACTACAGCCACTTGTGTATAAAAGGTTTATTTTTACACCTATTGCAAGTGAAATCAATGCTGTTGTTTCAGTTCAGATTGTTTGAAAAAAAAAGGGCTTAGATCCTAGATTCCAGATGCAAGCAAGCACATTAATTTTACCCTTAGCAACTGGAAAAGATCCTGGATTTGTTAGCCATCTGGGTCTTCCCTTCCTGCTGCTGAATGATAACTCAGAGGGGGGAAAATTGTTGAGGGGAGGCAGCTGCACAGCAGCTCTCTACAAGCAGATTTGCTGAGTGTACCACTGACTGTAGCAGGGAGTACAGCACAAAGGATGCTGCAGCCATGGGCTAACGCTGGCAGAAGTCATACTGTAAAGGGCTTTTTAGGCACAACACCACCCTCAGCATCAAGTTTACTTTCCAAATCTTTAACAATTCATTTTAAGGGGGGAAAACCCCCATCAGGGTCTACCAGCTTGAGCTGACATTTTACCATCCTTGCTAAAGGAGTGGTTTTGTACTGGATTTGCATTAACCTCAGCAGAAGAAGGGGATTTTGCTCCTGGCCATCAAAAGGCATCTTTGCATCTTTGAGCTACACCCTACCTCAAGCTCCCTACCTGTGAAATAGAGTTATTTTAGAACATACAGTGAGGCTTAAGCCTTGATACAAAAAAGCAACCCAGTTCAGATAAGTATTTTCTTGTGAATGGTATTTTAGAATCAGACTAGATTAGAGAAATTTATGCCCCTAAATTGTAGAAAGGCAAACAAATGCGAATAAAAATAGGAGATTTATCTCTAAAACATTCAGAGCTGCTCAGACAAGGGATATTAGCTGAATATAAAGTGCAGGAATATTAGATTCAATTTAAGATTCTGAAAGACTACTTTGCTTGGGCAAAATTCTTCTAAAATTAGGGTAATTTATTTTTTATATATTATTGATTTTCAGTATGGGAAACATCTCAGGCCACACTGAACAGAGATGGTGTTTTCTTGCAGCACAAAGATGCTGAGGTGGAGCTCATCAAGACCCAAATGTCTTGAACTATGAATGATTTTGAAAACATATGAGACAAAACATTTAAATAATGACACTTTGACATTTTCAGAATGAAGGTTGTTTCAAAACTGCTCTTCAGAGTAAGTGAATTTTTAGTATAAAAATTTTTGAAAGTTTGACAGGCAGAACTGTGTGGCAGTAAAGTATTTCTGTGTTGAATGCTTCCCTTACCCCAAGGCTACTTCTTTGAATTTCATTTCACATTAAATTTTGTAATATGCTTCATTTCAATGTGAAAAGATATTTGAAGTGGAGAGATTTATGGGAAACAAACAAAACTTTCCTGTTTATTTGCAATTAAACCTTATCAGTCCAAGATCTGCTGCTTCTCCCAACCAAATTCTTAGATGAATAAATAATGTCAGAAAGAGAATTACATACAGATAAATAGATGTTTTCAGCAGCTCTTTTGAGTGGGGAAAGGGGAAGACTAAGAAATTAATTGAAATAACAATATCATTATGGCAAAATTTGTACTCACGAGCTCAAGGCTGCACATTTGTGCAAAGGAATATGACAACCTGGGCTCCCTGATAGGGGGAGGTCACCTCCCCTGGCCTTGCAGGCTAAGTTACAAACATATGTATATACACATTTTCAAAATTTATATACGCTTTTCAAAATAAGTATATTTGAATCAAATCTTCTTGCATTTGAAAGCTACTGCTAGAATCTTGATTGTGCCTGAGCACAGAATTGCAGCTCCAGCTGCCTGGGGCCAGGGCTCCCATCCTGTGCGTGCAGAGGGAGCAGGCAGCGTGTGCAGGGGCAGCAGGCCAGGGCTGGTGATCTGTGGGGCACACTGGGGTAGAGACCAATCTCTGCTCCAGGGACCTTTACTGTTCCAGAAAATAAATGCAGCCTGTCCCCTTCACAGCATGGGTCATTGTAGGGGGTGGAGAACAAGCAATCCCCCTGTGCTTTATCACCTGAGAGGTTTGGTTTGTCTTGGGGGCTGCTGGGCACCCTTCTTGTCTTTCTGTCTGAAAAAGGATGGCTCCTTCCTGTGGAGAAATGTTTTGGGTGGATGGTAGGTCAGCACAGAAAGAAGTACTGCATTCCCAGGATGTGCCTCAATTTGGCAAGAGACTTAAGAAAACATGTAAAATATTAAGATTATGAAGGGCTCTTTTAGCTTCAGAGGTGGTCTAAAACACTGCTGTTATCCCTGCTGACTGAATTCAAATCAGACAATATAAGATGTCACAATTTTTAACATTGGCATGAGCCAAACATTATTAAGGGAGTGCTAGGGAGCAAGCCACTTGGGCAGAAACCAGTGGGACAAAGAGAAAATGTACCTGTTACAAGGTCAGCTGTAAACCAAAAAGGTTTCCTCAGCTGAGGAAAGAGAGCCAGGAGCAGGAGAAAGGCTGTGCTGGGCAGCCATGAACCATCAGACAGGAATCAGAGCAGCCCTTGCTGCCAGCATCAGTTCATCCATTACATGAATGACAGATTTATTTTCTGGTAACACCTTCCCATGAACTCTAGAGATACTCTTGCATGTTATTTCCTGCTGAGACAACTAACCCAAGAGTGTGACACTGATGTTTTTTTCTTTTCCACGTGTACACAGCGATGGTGAATCATGAAGTCCTCAGAACAGCAAAGAACTGGCTAAAGGGATGCAGCACACAAGCTCATCATCCCCCAGATATTGGAAGAACTGGATTTAAATATAATTCATCTCAAAAGGCCAGAGAAGGAAATGCTTTTGTTGTCTTCTGCTTCATATGGTCTTCAGAAAGGAAATATCACCAAGGGAAAAGAAGAAAAGAAAAAGAAGGGGGAAAAAAAAGAAAAAAAGAAAAGCACTCTAGCAAGATTAATGACTCATTTAAATTCTTTTTGCAATGAGATTCACCCCAAATCAAGAGAAACCCCCTTTTTACCCCTGCTGAAAGTTCTCAAAGTATTCCATATTTTTGCCTAGTTCTGCAGTTGTGTATTGTGCAGCACTTAAATCCAATTCTGTTCCAGGTTTGGTTTCTTCAGTTTGGTTTGGTTTTGTGGGTGTTTGTTTCAGTGTCCATAATTCTGACTGCCCTGGTTTGGTGGATGTGAAGCTCATGCCTATGCAATGTTTATTTCTCAATTTGCTTTTTCTGAGCAGTGCACTGATTTGCACAGGACTGCTGTTGGGGGGTACCAGGCTAGGACTGACAGACCAGCTCTGAGCACAGACAGCAGCTGAAAAGCCTCTCAAAGCAATAGCCAGAAGTGACTGCAGCCCAGCCAGGGCGCAGACTCTGCAGAGTGCTTTTTGGTTTTCAGATTAAAGGCCCTGTAGAAGTGACAAGTATTATTTTGAGACTGCCTTTCAGTTTGTTTTCTCCACAGATGAGTGCCCTGGGCTAGCTCTCCCTGTGCAACTCTTCTCCCTGCCCAGGGCTGTTCTCTAACCACCTACTTCAGGAATATTCAACTTAAAAACATCTCTTTTTTTTTTTTTTTTTTTTAATGAGTGAGGTTGAAAAATGGAATAATTCAGTATTCACATAAAATACAGATTTAGATAAGCATGTGTTATGCATAACTACTTGGTCAAGGTTTTCAGATACAGGAGGTTTTCTCCTGCTTCTGTTTTTAAATCCTGAGCCTGCAATACCTGAAAGACAAGGACTTCTAAGTGTGCCTGGCCACTTTTAGTTACAATGAAAAAAATCAGACTCCTGGCATACCTCAAGGTGGGAATATGAATGTTGTAACTGTGTCCACTGATTTTAGATAGCATGTCTCTTAGGGATCAGAGCTTAAATATGTAACACACATAAAAATGGATCCTTGTCTGGGCAAAGTTTCTTTTCCCTTATTTAAAATAGCAGTTTCATATCTTACCATATCTTATGTCCTGCCTATCCTCATATTCTATTTAAATATATAATGCCTTCCCACTCAATACATGTTTAATATGATCAGATTTTTTTGCCTGCAAATAATTCACTAATAAGTTACCATGCATAGCTTGATTAAAGAGAGAAGACAAATGCCCCAAGCCTCTGTGATGGTATCTGAGTATCACTAACAGCTGACAGAGGATGGTTCAGCTTTGTGAATAATTAAACTCATGTCAAAATACAGAAGGAGAAAATGTTTAGAGCTAACCATATTCATTCATTATTGAATTTGAATTGATTAGTAATTTCCTCAAAGAATAAAATTTTTTCCCTGTGTGGATGATTTTTAACTTTGAAAGAAGTGTTTTAAGTTCATCTTTCACAACTTTTTTTTAAACATTTCCACTATTTCCTGACAATAAACCCATCATGTAGAATATTGGTTTAAAGGAATGAACCAACTCCCAAAGGTGGTTTTGTATCACTGCATGGCTCAACTCAGTTGTGGTACACTGATGACCCGTTTGATATTAGAGCAATGCCCCAACTCAGTTTGCTGTGGCATTTGAAAGGAGCCTGTGTTGTAGATGTTGATGGTTTGGGGTTAATGTTAATTCTAGATGGTCCTCCTCTCAGATAAAAGGCTGTACAGCTCCAAATAACTTTCTCAGAGATTAAGTTTCATTTATATGTTTTATTTTTCAAGTTTACCTCGAGAGAATGTATTTTCTGTAAACTTAGTGCCATTAAGCACCAGTTCTTATTCCAGTGCTCATCATTGATCAATCTCTATGTAAAGCTTTAAAATCAATTTTGTCCAGAAGTAATGTCTATGTTCAAGGTTTATAATTATTCATGTCACTTAGCCTGTCTAAATTCTGGCATGCTAGAAAATTTATTTGCCTCTTCAGGAACTTTTCTTGGCCTTTAAAAATACAAAACAATGCTTTGGGTACTTCCTTGGCCAATTCTGACAGAAATTTTCTCTATCTGCTGATTTTTAAAAGTCCAAATTTAATATATGCTGCATTACTATTGAAAAATGTGCCATTCCATCAAATCTCACCTGTCTTTAGGTCCTGTCCTCCTTGTCTGAAACAGACCGAGGGTGAAGCAATTTGCATTTCAGTACAGTTATGGATATTTCCCTCAGCACTAGACAAATACAATTTTTAGTATTTCTCTTTTTCCTGAACATTTATACATCACTTTTATTCTTCCTCTAGCCCTAAACTAAGGAGGGGATCACTCATCCATCAGCACTGCTCCCTGCCACCCCACTGGTCTCTCTCTCTGATCATCACTTTCCCACTGAGGTCTGCATTGCCACAGGCACTGCCCAGCTCCTGCCCTCTCACTGAAGCCCAGCCTTTCTGTGAGGGAGGTTCAGGGCTGCAGCTGCACCAGGGGCACATCTGGCCCCTCTCCTCCCTCACCCCATTTGGTATTTCCCTCTAATGCTCGCCCGTGTGCCCCTTGCTCTCCTGCTTGTTTTATACTATTTATCAGTTCCTGGTCATTTCCTTTTGCACAGTTTTGCCTCAGTACTTTAATTTTGTGGGTGGATTGAATTACATGGGATTTAGGCCATTTCACACCTACATTAATACAGCCAAAACTTTATAATATTCCATTTCACGAGTATTAACTGTATACCTTCTGTTGATGCACCTTCATTTTTCCTAAATCATTTACACAGTCAGGTCCTCTAACCCACAAAATAAAAAGAAGAGCAACCAGACAGCAGATAAGATAGCAGCAAACTCTCAAAATTATTTTATCACTGTGCACTACAGAGTATTTAAGCCTCTGTGGTAATATCCTCATTGTTAGCCTGATCTGAACCCATCTCACCATCACCCTGCAACATCCACCTGTAACTGATAAGTTATCATCCCTCAGAAGAAAATGAGAAAAAGCATGGAAACAGGAAGTGTCTCCCAACATGTACTGTTCTAAAATGTTTCACAAATGTGATGATCCCAAAGGAACTGCTACCTCTTCTTCCATTTTCTTCAATAATTTCAGCAGTTATCCAGCACTTCAAGACAATTTGACATCTCATTTACAGACTGAGGCCTTTTGGTCCTGCAGAAAAGCTACAGATCCAAAGGAGGCTTTGTCTGAGAAATACATAGGTAATAACAAGGGTAATTAAAAATCAGCACCTCTCCTAGATATGCTAAAGATCAGTATCTTCACAAAATAGAAATAACTCCTCCATAAAGTTACAAACATAAGGTTGCTGATATTACCAGCAGCTAATTAATTCCATAAGAGTCCTGCACTTGTAAAGCACACAGCCCTAACATTAACCTCAGCAAAAAGGAACAATCTTTTAGTTTCCACATAATCATAAGTTACAGATTCGTAGATAACTCTTGGTCTGAGATTAAAAAAATATTTTTTTTTGTAATGCTAAACTCATTGGGGGACCCTAAATTGAACTTTCGTTACCTTTCTGATGTGAAACTGCTGTATATTCAACTGTTTTATCAAATAGCTGTTTCAAATTATTTTGTAATGTAAATATTTGAAAGACACAATATTGCTTAATTGTATATAAGAGTTTGAGATTTTAAACAGCTTGTTCTAATAAAGTTTTGAGTGGATACAGGTTCTGTTTTTTCCATAGTCCTGCTAATCCACTCAAGTATATGGATGCTAATTACTTGTTATTGATGCCACAATTACTCAGGCCTGAGAACATGTGCACAGCTGTACATGGTACATAGATATCAGCTGTATATGGTACATAGATATCTTACTCTTACCAGATCTCTAAAATTCAGGACAGCCAAAAAAAAAAAAAAAAAAAAAAAAGAGCTGCATTATATATTATATGTTTGTTGGGATATTTCAGATTGTTTATATCAATAGATCAATTCTGACTCCAGGGAAAGTAGTGACTTACTTCCAGGATTTGTCCTTGGGTAACTGTTGCCATCTTAAATGATCAATCATTTCTCAGGTTGTTTCAGTTAAAACACTCAAATGGGAGTCTCCAAGTTGATAGACCTGCTAAAGTAATTTTCAGTGGATTTAAGGGAAAAGGAAGAAAAAGATTAAAAAGAGACATGTATTTCCAACTAGAGGATTAGAAAATATTAATAAAGTAAAGCATTACTTTCATCTATTTTTGCAACAGACAATTTCATTGGAGAGGTGTATAATGGCTGGGGAGTATCCAGAAAGCTGGAGACAGTGTTTGTTCTATTTAATGCTCTTAATGTTCAAACAGCCTCAGTATGAGAGCTTCATAGCAATGAGCAGGCAGAAACCAGCCACCTCTTTCTCCCCCTCTCTTTTTTTCCTAGACAGCACATCAGCAAGGCGCTTGTCTAAGGCACAACCTTAGAAATCTGCATTTTGGGGCAATGCTTGTCTAGTTCTCAAGGGAGGTGCAAAAGAGGACGTGACTACGAAGTCCCAGAAGGTGTTGTGACACCTTGGGGAGTAACACAGTTACTCTCCTGTCCCCAGGCACTCTCTCTTGCCCCACTCTGCTCCTCCTAGAACCATCGTGCTGACCCACAGGGGGCAGGGGCTCCTCAAATGGGCGCTAAAACAAGGCTGGAAGGGGTCGTGGGACACCTGGCTTGGCAGGGGGTTTGAGGGGACAGCAAAGGACGCATCCTGCACCAACGTGGTCATACATCCCAAGCACTTACCCTCTGTTCTGGCTTTTGGAATGGTTGAAGTTGAACTTTCTGTGAATATCAGTGACAAGAAAATAGTAGCAGCATGGTCTGCTGAGACTCCCATTCCCTTCCAGTGAGGTTGCTCCAGCTCTTTTGTGCTGGATCAGTTCTCTGGCCTCATTTTGAGCAGGATCTCACAAGTCCAGTGAACTGCTATAAACAGGTGAATTATGCACCAAAGCAGCGGCTTTCCAGACAGCGCCTGGA